GAGATCCTCCCTCGGTCTCCCAAAGTGCTGGTATTACAAGTGCGAACCACCTTGCCCAGCCTACAATTTGGTTTATCTTTATTTCTTTCCATATATACACTAAAAAAACAAAACAAAACAAAACAAAAAACCCATGGATTTATGGTGGGGGGCATTAAAGATATTTAAATAAGCTTTCTTTCTTTCTTTTATTTATTTTTTTGTTTGAGAGGGAGTCTTGCTCTGTCACCCAGGCTGGAGTGCAGTGGCATGATATCAGCTCACTGCAACCTCTGCCTCCCAGGCTCAAGCAATTCTGCCTCAGCCTCCCAAGTAGCTGGGCCCGTGTCACCATGCCCGACTAAGTTTTGGATTTTTAGTAGAGACGGGGGTTTCTCCATGCTGGCCAGGCTGGTCTCGAACTCCTGACCTTAGGTGATCCACCTGCCTCAGTCTCCCAAAGTGCTAGGATTACAGGAGTGAGCCACTGCAACCGGCCTTACATAAGCTTTCTATTTCAGAATAGTTTTAGATTTTCAAAAAAGTTGCAAAGATAGTACAGAGGGCTCTATCCACCCTCTACGGATTTCTTGTTTTTCTTAACTGTTCATCGTACATTATATGGTACCTTTGTCAAGAGCAATGAACCATTATGGATACATTATTGTTAATTTAACTTTATACTTTATTAGGTTTTTGTTAGCTGTTCCCTTATCTGGTGGACGTACTTTTAAACTGAAAAAAAAAAAAAAACACACACACACACACAAAAAAAACCCTAAAAATAGAATGTTCATGGAAAACCATGATCAATTGCCAAACACAATTCTAGCTAGATGCTGTTAGCAGCGGAATGACATAAGCGTGGGGCCTGCTTTCTCTCTGTTAAAAAGGGAGATTGGCCAATGTTAGGTGTTAAAGACAGGCTAGATCAAGCTGAGACTTTCTCCCGGCCAAGTGGCATTGAACCAGCATGGTCATAGCAGCGAAATGGCTTTCTCATTATGAGATTCAGTGTTTAGTGCTCAGTCTGTGTCATCTAAAGTCAGCTTGGGTGGCACCCCTTCAGGAGCCCACCTTTGAGAAACACTGAGTGGTCTGGCTGTGCCACATCTGAAGAGGGTTGGAAACCCAGACCTGAGGCTGCCAGGCTCCAAACCTGGAGCTTCCTTCTGCCCTGGAAGATGGGGTCAGGGCTGGGTGCCCCGACTGGTGGTGGTTGAGGGGGATGGGGGGCTGTGGGGAATGTCATTTGTCTTCTCTAGTAACTCCCCCAGCTGTTTTTCCAAAGCTGGCAGGCATTTAACAAGTGATGGACAGAAAACAGCACACTGCAGAATTCTGTCCACAGCTCCTTGTCACGAACACAAGGGCCATTTATTTGCCCGTCCTGTCGGTGAGATGCATGTGGCCATACTTTTAGTCAGTGAGGGGGTCGGACGTGGCTGAAATGAAATGGCTTTCTCAACTGCCCTTTGCATAATGTCTGAATTTGTTCATATTCATTCCTTGAAAATGCCGCAAAGTGGTTTTTGTGTTTTATTAGTTAGAGTAGGTGATATTGCTTCCTGAAACCAAGACTTTGCTTTCCAATATGTATCTGCCATCGTCATTTCCAGGAGACTTCGGCCCACTACAAACTAACTCGGACGGCTCTGCTGCCCTAAAGGAATTTCACTCTGGAATAAGTCACTGTTGGCTCATGGGTCTGGACATCTAACCGGAGGTGATTCAAACTAGAATGTTTGCAGAATTTCTGGGTTTACCCCTAAGGATTGCTCTTTCTTCCTTATTTCCTTCCTTTCATTTTTTTTCTTTTTTCTTTTCATTTTCTTTTCTTTTTTGTCTCTTTCTCTCCTTCCTTCCTCCCTTCCTTCTTTCTTTTCTCTCTTTTTCTTTCTTTCTTTTTGGTGGGGGCGGGGGGGGTGTTCTTTTTCTTTTTTTTTTTTTTTTGCGACAGGGTCTCACTCTGTCACCCAGGCTGGCAGGCTGGAGTATGGTGATGTGATCTCACTGTGCCTGTAATCCCAGCTACTCAGGAGGCTGAAGGGGGAGAGTCGCTTGAACCCGGGAGGCAGAGGTTGCAGTGAGCTGAGATTGCACCACTGTACTCTGCTTCCTGAGCTCAAGCAATCCTCCTACCTCAGCCCCGTCAAGTAGCTGGGGCTACAGGTGAGAGCCACCATACCCAGCTAATTTTTTTTTGTACTCCTTTTTTTTTTTTTTCCCGAGATGGAGATTCGCTCCTGTTGCCCAGGCTGGAGTGCAATGGCGCGATCTCAGCCTACTGCAACCTCCGCCTCCTGGGTTCAAGTGATTCTCCTGCCTCAGCCTCCTAAGTAGCTGGGATTACAGGCATGTGCCACCACACCCGGATAATTTTGTATTTTTAGTAGAGACAGGGTTTCTCCATGTTGGCCAGGCTGGTCTTGAACTCCCGACCTCAGGTGATCTTGGTCTCCCAAAATGCTGGGATTACAGGCAAGAGCCACCATGCCCGGCCTTTTTTTTGTACTTTTATTAAAGATGGGGTTTCACCATGTTGCCCAGGCTGGTCTTGAACTCTTGAGGTTAAGCGATCTGTCCACCTCGACCTCCCAAAGTGCTAGGATTACAGGTGTGAGCCACCATGCTCAGCCTGTTTCTTTCTTTCTTTTAATTATTATTATTTTCTTTTATTAATTTTAAAAATAGAGACAGGGTCTCACTATGTTGCCTAGGCTGTTTTCAAACTCCTGCCCTCAAGCAGTCCTCTCACCTCAGGTTCCCAAAGGGCTGAGATTACATGAGCATGAGCCACTGTTTCCTGCAGAATGCTGTTTATTTCTGACCTGACCTACTGTAGAATTATTTTAGTTAGTCCGAGGAGGTGAATGGTTGTGATGAAATTTTCTCCACATAGGGGCGCAATGTCCCTAAAGAAGATAGATGGGTCAGGCGCGGTGGTTTATGCCTGTAATCCCAGCACTTTGGGAGGCCAAGGTGGGGCAGATCACTTTAGGTCAGGGGTTAGAGACCAGCCTGGCCAACATGGTGAAAAGCAGTCTCTACTAAAAATACAAAAATTAGCCAGGCGTGGTGGCGGGTACCTGTAATCCCAGCTACTTGAGAAGCTGAGGCAGGAGAATCGCTTGAACCTGTGAGGTGGAGGTTGCAGTGAGCCAAGATGGTGCCACTGCACTCCAGCCTGGGAAACACAGTGAGACTCCGTTTAAATACAAAATAAAACACATTTTTTAAAAAGAAGGAAGATGGTTGGGACAAAAGTAACAGATCCATCTATTTTCACTTTTAGAAATGAAAGGATTACAGGTAAAAGCGTCACTCCCAAACTCTTTTCCCAGAGGTGGCAACTCAGTTTGGCTTACATCCTTCCAGCCTGTCTTGCTGTCTAAGCGTTTCCACAGTGTTTCATTTTATGTGTGTAAAGGGGGAATGTTACACAATCAGGATTCTACTAAATGTATCCTGCTGACCCCCTTTTCACTCAGTAATATGCCTTGGAGACCCACCTCTGCTGTTCAGTGCAGACACAGCTCTTTTAAAACTGCTGGCTCAGCTGGCACAGTGGCTCACGCCTGTAATCCTAGCACTTTAGGAGGCCAAGATGGGAGGATCACTTCAGGCCAGGAGTTTGAGACCAGCCTGGTCAACATAGTGAGACACCATCTTTATTTAAAATAATTAAAAAACAAACAAACAAACAACAAACTTGCTGCCTCATCCCAGCCTGGGAAACATGACAAGACCCTGACTCTATGAAAAATGTTTTAAAAAAATTAGCCAGGTGTGGTGGCTCACGTCTGTGGTCCCAGCTGCTTGGGAGGCTGAGGCGGGAGGATCGCTTGAGCCCAGCAGATGGAGGGTGCAGCGAGCTGAGATCATGCCACTGTACTTCAGCCTGGGTGACAGAACAAGACCCATTCTCAGAAAACAAAAAAACAAAAAACTGCTGCCTGACGTACCATATCTTTCACATCTTGTTCAAGCAGTCATTATTGGATGAGTATTTCAGTTATTTCCCATCATTTCCTATGATAAGCAGCTCTCAGCAAGCACCTCTGTTCCTGTCTCCTTGTGCACAGGCATAAGCGATGTACTGGCTGGTAGGAGATGCTCATCTCTGGTTTTCAGAGATCTTTGCCAAATTACCCTTCAGAGTCTGTGTGTGCGCTTTAGTGGGGAAGGGTGTCCATTCCTGTTCTTTCGTGCTGTTTATTTCTGGTTTCTTTTCCACACTAGCTGCAGAGTGGAAAGGAGCCAAGGGGAGGGAGAGAGAAATCCGTCTCTAGGTGTTCCAAGGCCCTGGATGTGCCACAGGGCCGGCCTCTCCTCCGGAGGCGGTAAATGGCTGCTTTGTTCTTGGGTTCGTCCCTGAGCAGAATCAGAACGCAGAGACCTGTCAAGTGGACAAAAGAAGTTGTGCCCATCCCCAAGCTTGGATCCCACCCCTTGACCCGGAGAAACTGTTAACTTTGTAGAAGTCGCACACACACCAGTGTGACGGGGCATGGGGCGAGCGCCCACCCCGAACCCTGAAATAATTAAGTTATAAAAAAGAAAAAACATAACAAAAGAGCCTGACCCTCACTAACGGATGTAAAGGAAAGAACCAAGCTGACTCTCCATCTAGGAGAAGTGGGAGGCGCAAAGGGGGAAAGGGGCTTGGGGGAAACCCAGGACGGAAGGAAGGGGTGTGCAATGGATCAGATCTGGATTGAAGAGGGGGACAGATGGGAAAGGGGAAAGAAAGGAGGGAAAGGAGAAAGAGTGAGGAAGGTGCTGGAGGACAGTGACAAGGTAAGAAGAGTAAGGAGAGGGCTGGAAGAGGGAGGGGTGGCCAAGAGCAGTTTCGGAGGGGTAGGCTGCCTCCCAGTCTGTTTGTGATTAGCACGCAGCCTAGTGCAGAATGGAGTAAACAGAAACTTCCAGGCGTCCCCTCCGCCCCTCTCTGAGGCAAAGCAGAAATCAGATGCTCTGTGATTAATCGTGGAGGATTCAGGACACGACCACAAACGCTGTGCGGACTTGAAATTAGCTGCCTTTTCCCAGTCCCCTTGCCAAAATGGGAGTGGGGGGTGGGACGTGAAGGGGTGGGGGCCCCGCCTGCGGGGGGCCAGCATGGAATTCCCCCCGGCAGAGCTGGGAGTGACACTGACAAGCAATCGGCCGCGTCCAGAGCAGCAGGCGGCATCCGGGGGGAGCGGGGCCGGCTGGGGGGCCCCAGGAGGGCTTCCTGGAACCCCAGCTCCATGGCCGCCTGCACCCTGACACAGGCCAGATAAGAGTCCTGGCTGCATTATCAGAGCCCGGCAGGGCACCGGTCTCCCTGCACCAGAAGGAAGACTGGGGGCGCAGCAGGTCCTCAAGGCGATCTTCCCAGAGAGCGGACCGGCGGCTGGTGGCCAGAGTGGATGGACTTTGCCGAGCCCTAGCTCAAGTCCGGGAGTCCCGGGCCAGATGGGGGCAGACGCTTACTGGCGGCAATAGAGAAAGTGAGGCAGCTGCAAGGAGGGCGGCGGGACTGCACTTGAGTGTCCAGACCTGCTCGATGGTGAGTGTGAAGTGACTGCTTCCCATGTGTGCCCCGACGCTGCCTTGTGTGGACAGACTTCTGGAGCTGGGGGTGACGGGGGGGAGGCAGCCCTTCCTCACAGGCCACCTGGAACTCCCAAGGCCAGAGGAGGGAACCTGGGTTGAGTCTGAGCTGGGATGGCGGTATCGTGCTGTGTGGTCTTAGGCAAGTTACTTGCCCTCTCCAGGCCTCCGTTTGTCCATTTCTAAAACCGTGGTTGAACTGGGTGATCTTTAAGAGATTCTCATGATGACAGCTATTCCTTGTGCAACTGCGATAAGCCAGGCACTGTGTAGGCATTTCTGAAGCCTCCGCTGGGGAAATCCCTGTAAGCCCGCTGTGGGGTAGGTATTATTGGTGTCCTCATTGTACACTGAGGAAACAGCAGCTGGGAGAAGCGAACTGACTTGCTGAGGTCACACAGTCCGTCAGTGGCAGAAACTAGAAAAGACCTAGGTTTTTCCGACTCTGCTTTGGCTAAACTCTTCCGCACACCCCCAGGATTCTGTATTCTGTGCTCCATGGTTCTGCAATTATCCCAAGCAGCAGGAGTGAAGGAGAAGGAGGTGTGGATGGAACATCAACTGCAGGAGGGAGGCAGAGGTGGGACAGGAGTGACAGGGTGACACCGGCAAGCAGCCTTTTACTCTCTAAAGGATGTGTCAAGCCAGGGTGGGGGCTGGCGGCCCTGGGATGGAGCAGGGGTTTCAGGCTTGAATGATGAGCGCCCAGTGCAATTTCCTAGATTTGCTGCCTTGTTGTAGGAGGCTCCTGGGGGCATGAGAGAAGAGGGTTAATATGTCAGAGGTGGAGAGAGCTGGGGGCAGGGAAACTGGCATATGCCTCAACTAGGTTTTGTTCCAATTTTATTTTGCCTTCGCAGAAAATCTGTTTCGAATCACTCTGGGCCTGTGCAGCGTTTTTGGATGAAATAGAATTCTGAAACGCGTACAGCGCTTTCCACATGCCTTCCCTGGAGGGAATCACATATTAATATTATCGTAAGCTATTTGCATATATATCCCTGCAGTTGTGGCTGGCAGCAGCCAAGAGATAAGAGACAGATAAAGTCAGCTCGTGTCTCCCTGGCACGGAAAGGGAGGGTGCAGGTTACATTCAAGAGCCAGGAAACACACAGCAGGTGGGGAATCCCTGGGGTTCCAGGCATCAGGCCAGAGTCAAAAGTCCCAGCACCCAGATGTGGCCTTTTCTTTTTTCTTCCCTTGGAAAATTCCATCCTGAAGCAGCTCTGTACTGATCCAGGCCTCCTTTCCTTTCAGGAACTGGCTGTGAATCCCCCACTGCCCACCTTGGGAACGAGTCAGCCCTGAGTCTGTGGTCTCAGCTCTGGGAGCACCTTGTCCAGAAGCTCCCCCAGTCCCAGGCAAACTGGGACAATTGGTCACCCTACCCAGTTCCACCCTCGATTTTCTTTGTGACCTTGAGCAAGTCACTTCCCTTCTCTCAGCTTCCTCATCTTTAAAACAAAGGGATTATTTTAGGAAAGCTCTACAATCTCTCTGCAACCCTCAGATTCCATGAGTCTGGTTGAAGAGCACTTAAGTTCTGGGTGAGGGTGTCTGAAAGTAAGATGAAGTTTGGAGGGAGGCTGGATGCAGTGGCTCACGTCTGTAATCTTAGCACTTTCAGAGGCCAAGGCAGGCCGATCACCTGAAGTCAAGTGTTTGAGACTAGCCTGACCAACATAGTGAAACCTCATCTCTACTAAAAATACAAAAAATTAGCTGGCCATAGTGGTGCGTGCCTATAGTCCCAGCTGCTCGGGAGGCTAAGGCAGGAGAATCGCTTGAACTGGGGAGGCAGAGGTTGCAGTGAGCTGAGATCGTGCCACTGCACTCCAGCCTGGGAAACAGAACGAGACTCCATCTCAAAAAAAAAAAAAAAAAGAAGTTTGGAGAGGAGGAAAATCTCCCCGCCACTTCCCTAGAGAAGTCCAGGATGGCGCTGGAGGAGGCTGGAATGAAGGTGGGGCTTGGGGAAAAGGACTGATGGCCTGTGGTACCATCGGCACGGGGGTCAGTTGTAACAACCCGATGGCCCTGCAGCTTCTGAGGAGCCTCATGGGTTGTTGAAAGCGTGTCATGATCTTGTGGCCCAGCGTTTGTACTGAGTGCTTTGACCCAGAGGCCCACTGGTTGCTGAGGTTTTCCCCATTAGAACCTCAGTGCTCCCCCAGGATCCCCCAGTTCTTCCTGGGGAGCTCCAAAGGGGTATTTCACGTGCCCTCGCGAACCAGTCTCTTGTTTTAGTCATCCTTCCTGCTTCCTCTTTCCTCTGGGGCCGTTTGGAGATGCTTCCCTGCCCAGCACAGCGGCGCCCACGGTGCCGTCTCTGTAAACTCCCAAAGCTTCCCGCTACTTAGCGCTTGAGATGCCCTGGGTTCTGGGCAGATACGAAGATAATGGCTTCCTCCTCAGTTCAGTGATATTCTTTGCCATGTTGTCCCCACACAGAGGTGTGCTGGAGTTAGCTTGTACCAGCTTGTGAAAGCTGATTGTCAGATTTTCAGGAATTAGGTGAACGGGTTGCTAAACGCAGCCATTGTTAAATATTAAATTATATGAACTTACAATTAAATAAATTATATGAAAAACAAAGGTAATCAAGGCTGAGTGTGGTGGCTCATACATGTAATCCCAGCATTTTGGGAGGCCGAGACAGGAGGATCATTTGAGCCCAAGAGTTTGAGACCAGCCTGGGCAACATAGCAGGACCCCATCTCTACAAATAATTTGAGAAAAAACTAGCTGAGTGTGGTGGTGCGTGCCTGTAATCGTAGCTACTCAGGAGGCTGAGGTGGGAGGATTGCTTGAGCCCAAGAGGTCGAGGCTGCCATGAGCTGTGATCTCACCACTGCACTCCAACCTGGGCCACAGAGCAAGACACTGTCTCAAAAAAATAAAAATAGATAAACAAATAATTAGAAATTTTTTAGAAAGGAAAATATTAACTGGTATTTCTGAAGAATTATACTCCTTCATCAATTGTAACCATAGGTTGATTACAGATTTTGCTGGGGGCAAAAAATCAACAAAACTGCTACCTGTGAATGAAATGATTATATTACATGTACAAAAAAGGGTATTGTAAGTTTTATTTTTATTTGTAAATTGTGTGCTGCACATCCTTTATTTGAAGACAATTTTTTTTTTTTTTTTTGAGATGGAGTCACTCTGTCGCCTAGGCTAGACGACAGTGGCGTGATCTCGGCTCACTGCGACTTCCGCCTCCCAGGTTCAAGCAATTCTCCTGTCTCAGCCTCCCAAGTAGCTGGGATTACAGGCACCTGCTACCATGCCTGGCTAATTTTTTATATTTTTGGTAGAGACGGGGTTTCACCATGTTGGCCAGACTGGTTCGAAGAACTCCTAACCTCAAGTGATCCACCCACCTCAGCCCCCCAAAGTGCTGGGATTACAGGCACGAGCCACTGCGCCCAGCCTACATCAATACAATTTATAATAAACCGAAGTAGTGTGTGTGGATATGCAAATATATGTACTCGCCCATGCACACACGTGCACCACACACTCACTTTCCGGGGGAGAGAGCTGGTTGCTAAACCTTTGCCAGCGCACCACTGGTTCCACAGCACCTATGGTCGTGTCCGGGTTGTCCAAAATCCTCTCACGAACAGTCCTCAGTCCTCTTCCAAAGGAATTCAGACCCCAGGCACAGGCGTTGGATGCAAATCTTTCAACTTTCTCCTCTCACTTAAACCAGCAGCCCAACTGCTCTCTCTTGCTGGAAGCACTGGAGTGGATGCAGACATATCGGGTGGGGTAGAGACCCTGTCTACACTAGCAGCATCTGGGCCCCAGCTCCACTAGCGCCAAAGGCCCTGGGACGCACTCTCCATTGCGTCCACTGTGTCTGCATTTGCAGGGCATTTCGAGTCGGTCCGCAGCGGCTCCCGATTAGTCCTGTTCCGTTTCTAGTCTCTCTCCTGCCATTCTTTGTTTTCATGCACAGCGAATGATGCCCTAACAGAAACGGCATCTTGGAAGAAGTCAGAGGAACAGCTAAGCCAAACCTATAGGAAAGTTCAGACAGCTTGCTATTTTTAGAAACTCTAGGAGCCAGGTGGGCCCTTTCCAGTTGTAAGGGCCTAAGCCAGCAAGCACGAGAGGAAAATATTTCTCATTCCCAAGTTCCGCTCTCTTATAGTCCAGGCCAAAGAGGAGGCCCAGGTGGGACATTAGCTAAGAGAAGTGCGACTGCAATACAAGAGGAGAACCATGCCCACAGCAGTTTAAAAGAGAACTAAAACGTGCATTTTTTTTTTCTTTTTTTTTGTTAACAGAGTCTCACTCTGTCACCCAGGCTAGAGTGCAGTGGCGCCATCTTGGCTCACTTCAACCTCTGCCTCCCAGGTTCAAGAGATTCTCCTGCCTCAGCCTCCCTAGTAGCTGGGATTACAGGTGTGCGCCACCACGCCTGATTTTTGTAGTTTTAGTAGAGATAGGTGTCCCACCATGTTGGCCAGGCTGGTCTCAAACTTCTGACCTCAGGGGATTCGCCCACCTTGGCCTCCCAAAGTGCTGGGATTACAGGTGTGGGCCACTGTGCCCAGCCTATTTTAAAAAAAATTCTATCCCATCAGGCCAGGCACAGTGGCTCATGCCTATAATCCCAGCACTTTGGGAGGCCAAGGCAGGAGGATCGCTTTGAGACCAGGAGTTCAAGACCAGCCTGGTCAGCATAGCAAGACCCTTGTCTCTACAAATGTATTTTAAATAATTAGTTGGGTGTGGTTGCATGCACCTGTGGTCCCAGCTACTCAGGAAACTGAGGCAGGAGGCTCACTTGAGCCCAGGAAGTTGAAGCTGCAGTGAGCCATGTTTGTGCCACTGCAATCCAGCCTGAGTGACAGAGTGAGACCCTGTCTCAAAAACAAACAAAGAGGAACGAAAAAGAAATTCCGTTGGCTCACCTGTCAACCTGCACCCAGAGGCTGACAGCTCTGTGTCACCTCCGCTCCCTCCACCCTGGTCCCAGCGGCCACGGTGTCTCTCTCTGGACTATCGCAGTTGCCTCCTCACCGGTGTTTCTGCTTCTCTCTTGCCTCCCTCCTGGTCTACTCTCCGTGTGCAGCCAGCGAGGTCCTGTTAAAATGAAATCAGATCCCGTTCCTTCTTTGTTCAGGACACCTCCTGTCTCCAGCCAGCCCTGGTCCCGCCTTGCCCAGAGCACAGGCAAAGTCCTCACCACGGCCCACAAGGCCTGCAGGGCCCGGGCCTCTCTGACCTTGTCTCTCCTCCCTCCCACTCCCCACACTTGCTGTTCTTGAGGTCAGGCACAGTCCTGCCCCAGGACCTTTGCAATCGCTTTTCTCTCTGCCTGGGGGCTCATTCTTCACATATCCACGTGGCCCACTTGTTCATATCGCCCAGGTCTTTACACAAACATCACCTTCGCAGTGAGGCCATCCTGACTCTCCATTTAAAATTATAGCCTTCCTTCACTCCCTGGTCTTCTCTATCCCTTTTCTGGTTTATTTTTCTCCTTACCACACATCTCTCATCATCTAACATACATATATATTCTTATTTTCTTAAGTGTCCCCTGCTGGATGCTGGAATGTGAGTTTCCTGAAGGTAGGGATTTTTTGTTTGTTTGTTTGTTTGTTTTTTGAGATGGAGCCTCACTCTGTCACCCAGGATGGAGTGCAATGGTGCAATCTCGGCTCACTGCAACCTCCGCCTCCCAAGTTCAAGTGATGCTCCTGCCTCAGGCTCCTGAGTAGCTGGGATTATAGGTGCACACCACCACGCCCGACTAATTTTTGTATTTTTAGTAGAGACAGGGTTTTGCTATGTTGGCCAGATTGGTGTCGAACTTCTGACTTCAGGTGATCCACCCGCCTTGGCCTCCCAAAGTGCTGGGATTACAGTTGTGAGACACTGCGCCCGGCCTCCTTTTTTAAAAACGGACCTCAAGTAAGCAGAATTGACCGGGCACAGTGGCTCACGCCTGTAATCCCAGTACTTTGGGAGGCTGAGGCGGGTGGATCACCTGAGGTCAGGAGTTTGAGACCAGCCTGGCCAATATGGTGAAATCCCGTCTCTACTAAAAACACAAAAATTAATCAGGCCTGGTGACACGAACCTGTAATCCCAGTTACTTGGGAGGCTGAGGCAGAAGAATCACTTGAACCCAAGAGGTGGAGGTTGCAGCAAGCTGAGATCTCACCGCTGCACTGCAACCTGGACGATGGAGTGAGACTCCATCTCAAAGAAAAAAAAAAAGAAAAAGTAAGTAGGATTGAATGATTCATAATTCCATAATGACGTACTGAAAGGGCAACTGAACAGCTCCACCTACCCTTCCATCTAACAAGCTCTTTATAGCTATTTATAAAATGATAAATACCTGTGAAGCCACGGCCCCGCCTAAGTGCTGGAACTCGGACAACCATTTTACATCTACTTCCGAACTCTTTTCCCATCTTGCCTCCCTCCCTCTCCCACTGTGGTAGTAGCTGCTTCTTGAATTCTGTGTTTAGCTTTCCCTTGCCTTTCTAAAACTTGTGGTAAAAAACACAGAATTCACCACTTTAGCCATTTTAGGCGTACAATTCAGCGGCACTACGCACATTCACAATGTTGTGCAATTATCAGCGCCATCCATTTCCAGAACATTTTCTTCTTCTCTATTTCCCTTGCTTAAAAAAATAGTTTTATCACTTACATGTATGCCAAAATAATGTGTCATTTACTTTTACTGCTGTTTGAATTTTACATAAAGATATATCTTGTCTTCTGGCACGTACACGCAGACACACACACACACACACACACACACATACACACATATATTTTGAGACGGGGTCTCACTCTGCCACCCGGGCTGGAGTGCAGTGGTGCAATCTCAGTTCACTGTAGCCTTGACTTCTTGGGCTCAGGTGATCCTCCCACCTCAGCCTCCCTGGTAGTTGGGACTACAGGCATGAACCACCACACCGGGCTACTTTTCTGTAGAGACAGGGCTTTGCCATGTTGCATATTGCCCAGGCTGGCCTTGAACTCCTGGCCTCAAGCAATCAGCCTGCCTTAGCATCCCAAAATGCTGGGATTATGGGTGTGAGCCACGGTGCCCAGCCCCTGGCACTTATATTTTTATAAATAATTTTATTGCTAAAATTCATTGATATGATTGCGTAACACTTGTTCATTTACTTTTCCCTGCTGTGTACTATTCCATGGCATACCAGCATTTATTTTTCCTGTCTATGACCACGTGGGTTGTTTCCGTTTGTCAGTTTTGTTTGCTACATAAACGGTTCTGCTTTGAGGGTTCGTGTACTGTCCCATCGCACACATACAGGAGTGTGTCTCAAGTATGTACCTGGGAGTAGAATTGCTGGAATATGAAATCGTATGCTGAATTATCTTCCAATGGTTGTACCAATTCACAAGCCACCCTCTACACATGGCATTTGTCAGATGTCTTACTTTTTGCCACCTGAATGGGTGGAATTTCCCCTAGATCTTGACTGACACCAAGGACGGGGCTGGAATGTCCAAAAGCCTTGAATGGGCTGCATGTTCGTGACGTCCCACATCTTTGTGGCACAGCTTCTCCTGGAGGAGAGCCAAGCCTGGCAGCTGTACTACAGAAAGGAACACGTGGAGTAGGGATTACGGATCTAATAACGTCAACTTTTCCTTCCTCCCCTCCACCTCCTTTTATTTGGTCTGGTTCTCACTGCGTGTGGGAAACGGTGTGGTGGGGAAGGGGCAAATCCTTGGTCCGTGACGGGCACTGTTGCATGCACTTTACAGATATTGCTATTAATTATTTACCCCTCAGATCCTGCAAATGGAGGTGCCCTTAGAAGCCCCACTTTACAGTATGGAAACTGAGGAACAGAGAGGTTAAGTAACTTGCCTGATATTACACAGGGAGTAAATGGCAGAACTGGGTTTGAATCCAGCTCTTCTGGCTTTCTCCGAGGTTTATGCTGCCTTTCAGTAGTGCCTGCAGTTAAGGGTTGCAGACTCCTCAGTCCTACAGACTTGGGTTCAAACCCTGGATCCCCTACCGCCTCACTGTATACCTCTGAGCAGTTATATCACGTCTCTGAACCTCAATTTCTCTAAAATGAAAAGAGCCATCTTTTCCAGAAGCCTCATTATATGTTTTTTTCTTGTGCCTTATTGTTTCTTCTCTTTTCTTCTTTTGTTTTTTTGAGACAGAGTTTGACTTTGTCATCCAGGCTCAGTGCAGTGGAACGATCTTGGTTCACTGCAGCCTCCACCCCCTGGGCTCAAGCAGATCTTCCCATCTCAGCCTCCTAAGCAGCTGGGACTACAGGCATGCACCACCATGCCCAGTCAGTTTTTATATTTTGCAGAGACTGGGGTCTCACTTTGTTGATCAGGCTGGTCTCAAACTCCTAAGCTGAAATAGATTCACCCGCCTTAGCCTCCCAAAGTGCTGGGATGAAGGTGTGAGCCACTGTGCCAGCTCTTGTTTCTTGTTATGTTATATTCCCCTTCTTGAAGTTTCCCTGGAATATGTTCTTTGGCTTACACCTGTCAGAGTTTATCCCTGGAGCTGAGGGGGTATCAATGCCACTCACACTCGTACCTGCAAATCAGGGTGCCCTCCCACCCCCTGACCTAACAAAAGCCAAAGGTTGTTCGTAGGAGCAGGAGATAGGCGCTGGGCGTCAGGAAAGCAAGTGTCCACTCTGGGCTGGCTGGGCTGGTTTGGGCCACTGACCTTCGTGACCATTGTATTGTGAAAGAGGCTGCTCTGGTTGAGCTGTAACCAGCACAGGCAGCCTTTGGCCAGGTCGGCATGAGATTACCAGCCGCGCACGGGCGGCTGCACACAAGTCTGCAATACCTATTCTGAAGGGTAATTCTCTGGGATAAAGCGTGTTTATATTTTTTAGGGAGGTGGGGAAGAAAATTCCATTTCTGTTGCCAATTAGTTCTGCTTGAGAACAGCTTTTCTCAACACCAACATATTGGCTGCCCAGACTTGAGTTCTGTTGATTAACTCAAAGTGGGGAAAAAAGTGATTTTTCTTTCCTTCCTCCACCCCCAACTGTGAAACCCGGCTGTTAGTGATGAAAGGGGTCCTGTGGATCATTTAGTTTTCCTTGTCATGACTCCAGGAAAGGCTATAAAAATAATCAGTGGGCCCCGCTGGCCGTAATTGACTGTAGAGAGAAGCTGGCTACCACAGCGCCTGAGTTATGAGAATCTGTTTCAGATGCAGGCTTCAGTTGAGCCTCCTCTAATGACACCTGCTCCCCAAGGCCAGTGGAGGGTGGGGGTGCTGACGCTTGTCTGCACGCTTCTCTTCCTTCCCAGGTTCCAGGGAGCTCCTGGCAGAGCGACCCAGGACAAAACAAAGATGCTGGGAGGATGGGACCAAGCATGGGTCTGGCGCCTGCTGCTTGCACCAAATTTCAGGTCTACTGTTTGTTTGTCTGTTTGTTCTGAGACAGGATCTCACTCTGGTTGCCAGGCCGGAGTGCAGTGGTGTGATCTCAGCTAACAGCAGTCTTGACCTCCCGAGCTCAGGTGATCCTCCCACCTCAGCCTCCCGGGTAGCTGGGACTACAGGTGTGTGCCACCACACTTGGCTAATTTTTGCAGTTTTTTAGTAGAGACGGTTTTTTTGTTGTTGTTGTTGAGACAGAGTCTCACTCTGTCACCCAGGCCGGACTGCAAGGGCGCGATCTTGGCTCACTGCAACCTCTGCCTCCTGGGTTCAAGCGATTCTCCTGCCTCAGCCTCCCAAGTAGCTGGGACTACAGGTGAGCGCCACCACGCCTGGCTAATTGTGTGTGTGTGTGTGTATTTTTAGTAGATATGGAGTTTCACCATGTTTGTCAGGATGGTCTCGATCTCCTGACCTCGTGATCCGCCCGCCTCAGCCTCCCAAAGTGCTGGGATTACAGGCGTGAGCCACCGTACCGGTGGAGATGGGATTTTGCCATGTTGCCCAGGCTGGTCTCGAACTCCTGAACTCAAGCAATCCTCCCGCCTCTGCCTCCCAAATTGCTGGGATTACAGGTGTGAGCCACAGTGCCTGGCCCAGTCCATTGTTTGTTGACCATGAATCTGGGTTCGAGGAACTTCACTTCTTGGTTCCTCTGTTTTTTTTTTTTTTTTTAATTTAATTTTATTTTTTAATCATAAACTCAACCAAGTGGCACCTTCATTTTATATATTTTTAAAATATTATATATATAATATTTTTTGAGGTATATAT